TCGTGATTTTTGTTCTCTTTTTTTTGTGGCTGCTTGCTGTTATTTGGTTCCACTCACGGCATAAACGAGACTAGCAGCCATCGTGGGTACTGCAGGTGTGATGTAATGTAAGAACTTTTTATCATTAAACTAGCATTATATGCCTACCATAGCTATGAACTGTATGTCCTTACACAGGTTTAGCATTATCTACCATAGCTTTGTGTTCTATATCCTTACACAGGTTTAGCATTACCTACCATAGCTGTGAACTGTATGCCCTTACACAGGTTTAACATTATCTACCATAGCTTTGTGTTCTATATCCTTACACAGGTTTAGCATTATCAACCATAGCTTTGTGTTCTATATCCTTACACAGGTTTAGCATTACCTACCATAGCTTTGAACTGTATGTCCTTACACAGGTTTAGCATTACCTACCATAGCTTTGGGTAATGCTAAACCTATGTAAGGACATACAGTTCAAAGCTATGGTAGATAATGCTAAACCTGTGTAAGGATATACAGTTCAAAGCTGTGGTAGATAATGCTAAACCTGTGTAAGGACATACAGTTCAAAGCTGTGGTAGGTAATTCTAAACCTGTGCAAGGACATACAGTTCAAAGCTGTGGTAGGTAATGCTAAACCTGTGTAAGGATATAGAACACAAAGCTATGATAGATAATGCTAAACCTGTGTAAGGACATACAGTTCAAAGCTATGGTAGATAATGCTAAACCTATGTAAGGGCATACAGTTGTGACATACATCAGTCGACATCAGTAATGGCGGACGCTGAGAACTTTGAAGGACCAGACTTCTTGCTGGTACACGGTGAGAGAGACTTCAACGTTCACTATCAACACACAGCTGTACTGATGCGAACACTGCAAGACAAGGACATACAGTTCAAAGCTATGGTAGGTAATGCTAAACCTGTGTAAGGACATACAGTTCAAAGCTGTGGTAGGTAATTCTAAACCTGTGTAAGGACATACAGTTCAAAGCTATGGTAGGTAATGCTAAACCTATGTAAGGACATACAGTTCAAAGCTATGGTAGTTTGTATTTGTTGAAAGGAATAAATATTGTTATAGATTAAAATTACTACTATATGTATTTATTTTGCCTATCTACGAGTTCATTGATATATATAAATGATAATCAAATGTAAATGATATAGTATATATATATATATATAGATCAGAATTCATGTATTTCGGATTATTGTTATACGTGAGAGAAGTTTGACTAAGAGTAAACACAAATGTTTTCTATCTTGCTGTTAAAAGTTTATCATTAATGAAATACCTAAAGGAATACACGGCTACACAATTAACAACAGGACACGACAGGAATATACAATTTCTAGCTTGCGTTGTCCTCGTTTATATTAACAAGTTGTAAACATTTCCTATTGATTGCTATAAACATTTGCTATTGATGTTAAGTTGTAAACATTGACTCGATAGTTATATTGTGCATGATAGGTTTCCCAACTGCAGTTAAATTATTCCCATTACGGGAATTCCTATAATTCCCAATAAATTATTAATAATTAATTATCATAATTATAATTAATTATCATAATTATAATGAATTATCATAATTATAATGAATTATCATAATTATAATAAATTATCATAATTATATTGAATTATCATAATTCATTAATGAATTTCGAATGTATGTTCCGCTCGCGTTGTCCTCATTTGTATGAGTAAGTTGTAAACATTGCCTATTCATGTACCTGATAGGCCGCATAATTGTCTGTAGCCTCGGGTGATCCCATATACCTCTCCGTATAAACTGAATCTGTAATTGAATTGTCGACATATCCGTTCTTAATCAGGCGCCATGTTGTCAAGAATATCGTAAATCGACATGGCGATTAAAAAGTATCGAAATATACACCCGTATATGTATATAGTATAGTAATATATATATATATATATATATATATATATATATATATATATATATATAT